ACAAACCCCCCACTAGAAGGGGGCTGGGGACATGGAGATAACCCCCCCCCCACACACACACACACACACATATTCAGGAGTGCCGCACACAGCACATGGGCATGCCCACACTCTTGGGGCAGCATCTGCTCCCAGGGCCAGCGCAACAAGGCGGAGGAGCATCTGCCACTCACACACCCCTCCCCCCCAACACCCTGTCCCCTTCTTCTCTAGTTGGCAAGTCCTCCCCCCGTGGGACACCACCACTGCCAGACCCAACATGTGCAGAATGGAGGGAAACCCAGCTACCCCATGGTCCCCCTCCTGCCCGCAGGACCCCGATCTGGCCAGCACCTTCCCAGGCCTGCTTGTCCCCTGAATGTGGAGTTAGTGAGGCTCCCCCCTTGGACATCTGTGCCCCTGCAGGAAAGGGCCAACAGCCTAGGACTCAGGTGGCCTTGCTCGAAGCACATTGCCTTCGTCTGATCCAAGGCATTTTGGTCTCGGCTCAGAGATGAGGCCTAGGCATTATGCATGGTGTCCCTGGGATAACTGCCCTTCTCTTTGTTCTCCACAGCTGGACCAGCTGCAAGAGGGGAGTGGTCACCAGCCTCCTGACCCCACATGAACTGCTGGTGCCAGAGAGCCCATGAGAGAGCATATTGCTTCCTTGTGAGTCCTACAGCACTCTATGGACTGGCAGGATTGGAGACTGGAGGAGGACCTCCAGCTGCACCACGATACCCGGCAGGAGCTGCTGCAGCAGAGCTTATCCATCTGCATGGCCTTCCACATGTTCATCAACCACCGGGTGGCCTCTTGAATGCCTGTTCCTGCCCCTCTGGCTTCTCCCCCTAGCCCCTCCCATGGCTGCCAAGGGCCCCGCACATGAGGTGGTGGCATCACCCACCACAGGCACCGCTCCCAGCCTCAGCCTTGAGCCTCTCCTCCCCCTTTCACTTCCCTCTTCCCCCTCCCCAGTCCCTCCACAGTTACATTTATCCCAATAGAAAAAATAGAGTCTGTTGTTTCCAAACCAGAAGTGTAGTTTATTGTCTGTGTAGGAAGGGGAGGCGGAGGGGAAGGAAAGGCAAAGATGGGCAATGCACAGTCCCTTTGTGGGGAGGCCCAGGAGAGAGTGTCACTGGGGTCCTTGTGTGAAACTCTCCCACAAGGCCTCACAGATACGCACAGCCCCTGATGGGCCTGCTGGATAGCAGCCATGCGCAGCTGCTCAAAGGCCCTGCCGATCTATCTGGTCAGCTTCAGCCCTCCATCCTGACAGAAATAGGAAGGCAGA